AAGACTTTCCTTTTTTCCGCTAATGGGGCTACTGCTCTGAAGGTCAGCCGGAGCTTAATTTCCTGCCCACCGCTTGGTATTGGGGAACTTCTTGGCTTTTTTTAAATTTTTTAAAAGAGAGGCTGGGCCAAGATAGCCCACGAGAGGATAGCATTGAGATGCTCTGCCTACCTCTGGGGTGTGGCAACCTTGGGGAAGGTTGCCGGTGAGATCAGAGTGATTGGTGGAGGATGGTGTAAGATGTTATATGAGTCAAAATGATATGAGACTTCAGGTAAAATATGATGATCACCACCCCCTTGGAACCCCATAATCTGAGTCGGCGGGTTTTTTTATGACTGGTAAAATTGTTGACCGGGAAAAATATGGCGGAATCTTCCAAAACCCACCACTTTATCCCGGTTATAATAATCCCGAGTAAGGTAGGTAATAATTATTTTAGTCTCTTGAGTCTTAACACCATTTTAAGGTTATACGGGTTCCTGCTAGTAAGACTAATTGCTATCATAGTAACATACGGATTTTAAGTGTACTATTATTAGCTTATCAACATAGATAATTAAAACAACCTTCCGTTTTCTCGTTATCTTCTGTCTGATATAAAGGGAAAATTCAGTATCTGTACCTAAATTGGGGTTAAGTTATTTTTAACAACCTATTATTTGTAAGATTCTTACTCCAGTTTGTGCAGGTATCATTTGTGTGAAATTTACTGTTACCAGTATACTAGAGTCAAGACAGTGTAAGTGAGAGATTACACAAAGTAGTCCCCTGACAAAGCTAAACTGTGTTTCTTTGTATCTTCTAAGAACATTGATCTTGTGAGGCCCAGCGTGAATTTTTAACATAGTAGTGTTGTGTTTAGTAGGGAGCATCACAGCTCTCGACAGACAAAGTGAAACAAGGTAAATAACTGGTTCTGCATTCATTGCTCCTTACTAAACACTACAGTGTTCAAAGAAGACTGTAGATGTCATCTTGCAGGAAAATTATTAAATCTGCAAAATCGTATTTTGCAAACCAATAATTTGATTAGTGATATCACCTATCAAAACTTCGACGTTAAATACGTTTACGAATAACACAATACACTTAAGGTCAGTAGACTAAAATATCAAATCACTGATGTGGTTGAAGTTTGACTTTTCTAAAAGTGTACATTACAGTATAGTTAAATATGTTTAAAATTGAACTTCCTAGTAATCCAAGCGAAAAATGTACCTCAAGAACTTCTAAATTCTTTCCCTGTTCGATAGTTGTGCAACCTGGAATACTTTATTTTGCAGTGATTGTTTTCGCAAAGCTAGTGTGCTGGACTTGGATTATTGAGCAATGCATCGTATTTTTGTCAAGGTTCTGCTATACTTTTTTATCGCTATCATGTCGTGATGGGGCCGGGGGGATGGGACGAGTACAAACTCTGTAACTTTAATTATCTGCTGACGTGTTAATACTCATGATTTAAATTGTATTGTTTCCCTGTAGTGTCAATTCTCTTAACATCTAACGAAACCCGTCTTCAGTTTAATATGGAGTTGAAGAACGGTATTGGTATTCTAGCAGTCCTTGCTATTGTGGGGGTTTGGTACATTTTCTACTACGGTGCATACGCTAAGGAAAGGTCAGTATACCAATTATCGTTATCACTTTCATTGGGTTTTTATTCTGTTGCTTTTAATATACTTTTTGAGAGTATCTACCTTGGATTTATGCACAATCGCAAGAACCCCAATACTTCAAGTTTTACCAAAAACGGCAACATTTTCAGATTTGATAAAAAAATTTAATCAATACGTTTAGTGGATTAAATCTTGAAATTTGGGTACCTCCGTCTTTAATCGTGTGGAATGTGAAGTAGAATGACGCGTATCTTTACAGTATGTTTGCACACAAAACTTGACTCGTTCTGACCCGTTCTGACAAGCTGACATGACGGAATAATACCACATGTTTCAATACATCGGTAATTTGGAGTGCAATACCTTATTGTAAAGAGAGCGTGTTCTTCTAATTATTTATTGAGGCAGCCCGGGTTTACTACTTTCTATATTTAAGTAACCACGCCAACACTCAGTTGTAACGTGATTCACCTGTTTTTGTTTTACAATTTGTTCTATATATTTTGTATTTTGTATATTCCTCCTATCCATATTATATAAAATATGAAAACTTGATACCCACTGGGCACCAGGTCACGTCAGATACGTAAAATATGATTAGGGCTGGTTTCAGTCTTAGTCTCGTGTTATTATTATATAGTCTCTACTCCTGGTATTTCTGTAAAATAACGTCTTGAGTTTGGTCAAATTCAATATGTTATAACTGTCATTATACTGTTGGTACTTATGATCTTAGTCTTTGTTATAGATTCTTGTAATCGCAGTTAAATTGTTTAGAATTGGGTGATTGAATTCATTAGATAGTTTTATTAAGTACTTATATTAGATGCTTATTGTTTTCTGCAAACGTAGTACGTACGTGATTCTCTCCACTTTCTCGTACGTGATTCTCTCCACTTTCTCGCGTACTTTAATCGGGCACCTGTAGACTGTTAAATATATAGGCTTACATTTCATAAATGTTGGATACGGCCATACTCGGTTGAATACACCCCATCTCGTTCGATCTGGGAAGTTAAGCAACTGCAGGCCGGGTTAGTACTTGGATGGGTGACCGCCTGGGAATTCCCGGTGCCGTATCCTTTTGCAAATCATTTTAGGAGTGATGTGATTCCTGAAACTGCTATAATTTGATTGTCGGTGATAGATCTCATAGAAAGGTGATATGAAGTCAGTAGGTACCACATGAAGGTATGTGGAGTGTTTTAACAGTGTAACCACATGTTGTGTAGTGTGTAACCACATCACGTTGCAATTATAGTCACCTCAAGTAAAGCCGGCATCTGGTTGCTAGCCTGGCTTCTGGTTGCTAGCCTGGCTTCTGGTTGCTAGCCTGGCTTCTGGTTGCTAGCCTGGCTTCTGGTTGCTAGCCTGGCTTCTGGTTGCTAGCCTGGCTTCTGGTTGCTAGCCTGGCTTCTGGCTGCTAGCCTGGCTTCTGGTTGCTAGCCTGGCTTCTGGTTGCTAGCCTGGCTTCTGGTTGCTAGCCTGGCTTTTGGTTGCTAGCCTGGCTTCTGGCTGCTAGCCTGGCATCTGGTTGCTAGCCTGGCTTCTGGTTGCTAGCCTGGCATCTGGTTGCTAGCCTGACCCTGGCTTCTGGTTGCTAGCCTGGCTTCCACAGACACGTGACACATTCTCCAATATTTAATGCAGTAAAACTATCAAACTACGATGAATGGGGACTAAGGACTTGCCACCCCATTTTATGTATCAAAAATTTGAGTTTCACAGAAAAGCCGGCTCTCACCAGGTTTATGTGAGAACACTGTGACAGTGTATAATGCGGCAATGTGCGGTAACTAGCTGTGTGCCTCTGTACGTGGTATTATTCTGGTGTGTAATTTTAGTGTATTCTGCAGTGTTTCTCTAGACAACAAGTACTGAGTACTCTGGGTCATTTCAGAGGTATCCTTATGAACCAGAGGATATATATATAAGTGCGGTAAGATTTTGAAAATAGTGCAATCCTATGGTTGCCTAAGATTTCTAATTTATTGTGCAGTAAGAGTGCAGAAATTTGACGAATTGTGCTGTACGGTGTTTCTCTGGGAAATTAAAGGTAAAAGTGATGCTAAATTACGTTAATAAGACAGGATTATCTGTGTTGGCAGGTGTCGTTATCGTTATTAAATTATATTAGTTTAATAATTCCTACAATGTGACTGAATCAACATTTTATTAGTGTGTTTAAAGTATGATAACTAACCCAGTCCTTCTTCAACGGGCAGTGGGCAGACTGCAGATGGTCATTCACAATGTTATTTACAATATTCTTATCGCATTGTACTTAGCAGTGTCAGTACCGGATTACCAAATCTACCAAAAACACGGGACATGGATTTCAGAGTCTAGATTGTGAACAATTCTACAGAAGTGTGGGGAAATGTCTGACAATACTGGTAACTAGTCTAACCTCACAGTCACTATGATGTTGCCTTTTTCGCATGTTGAGCATTGATTGTATTAGCAGTGTACGGAATAGTTTAATTAACTAATGAGTGAACTGATCACTCATTGAAATAAAGACTATAAGATCAGTGTCCAAGTACACACCTTAAGAGAGATTTTTAAAATGTTTATTAATAACACGCCGCATACCATTGTTCATTTGTTCAGAGTGCTGAAATTTAAGTTATTTCAGTCATCACAGATGACCCCACGTTTAGAATTGCTGGGGGCTGAACTTGTGAAAACAGAAAATGTCTGATCCTTCAAGTATGCTAAGGAAAGCTCGAATTGTGTCTAGAAGTAGGCACTTGAAAAGTCTAAACTAAGTTCTAAATCAATTATGATATCTTACCCGGAAGAGGTGTTGGGACTTGTTTGTTTACAGAACCCGTCCCCAACTCTATACTGAGTGTGAATACGGGTGGTACCTGCGTCCTGCAACTGTTGAGACTTGAGAACATCTGGCTTTTAAAATACTGCTTTAAATTGAACGCTTGAGCTACAAGAATTCGCATTTCGCGTTAAGTAATTTGATATAAGTGATTAATTTGTTCTGAGTGATTAATTTGCTCCAGGTCTTATCGGCTCGATTAATTTATAGATCGACTCATTAAGTTGCAGTGTTACTGCAAGTTAATGAAATTAAAGATTAGATTATTCAGAGCCTTGTTGGATAAATAAATGTTAAGATAGATATTTTATATCAGAATCTTGCAGTTTCACAATTCACACCAAGGAGGGTCCGCTCACAGTATTAAAATATTTTCCTGTGTTTCCATTTTGAAGTTCACAAGACACGACAATCTACTGCACTTTAATTGATACCTTAATTTTAACAAAACCTTATCATAGATTGGTAGATAATTAAAGCTAATTTGATTGTGATGAGATGATTGAACAGATAATTAAATGGATCGATTTTATATTCACAAATTTAGTTTCCTCGCGTTTACTTCCGATGTGAGTCACTTACCGTTTTTACAGTTTTACATGTTATATCGACTTTTTCATATTTCCAGAGCCCCCTCCAGTTAATTATCTTGGTACTTTACTGACGTCGAGGAATTACGCCACTTTACCCCCTAGCCCATACCATATACCCAGTGAGCGGTATTTGAGAGGTATTCAGCAGAAGTATGTCAGACCGCCAACTCTTACTCTTGCTGCTGGTATTCGCCTCCTACTACATGCTTACCCAAGACACGCTGCTAATATACACTGTGCTCTACAGAGTACCGGATCTGTTCAACTATTTACGTGGAGTCGGAAAAATGTAAGTTATGTAACCAATGTGGTGGTTTAAAAGAACTTGCTCTCCAGCTTGGAAGTGTCTTGGTAGTGGTGATCTGTGTTTACTGTTTAGTGTTTATGGTAAACAGTACCATATTGTACGTTGTCATTGGAATGTACTTATGCGGTCTAGTAAATATTATAAGGTATACATATTACATATTATGTTTAATAATGTTAGTGCGCTATACAATGTGTGTGTTATTTGCTTGACGTACGTTTCTATCCAGTATCAATCAGGTTCAACTGCACGAATTCAACCGCGGCTTGTTTGGTTGTTTTGTTTCGCATCTTTAACAATGGCCATGTACATTGTACATTGTACAATGTACCATAGGCCAGGGCCAAATATCTGGCTGTTGCATCGGGTTTGACAACTCACTTGAGAATAATACTTTACAAACATTGAAAACCTGCAATGTAGTACGCCTTACAAGGTATAATCTTCACGTGATCTCTCCAAATTTAGACGTATTATATATATTATGTAATTACCTCATTAAGTACGGCATATTCCAGATATTTCCTAGCAGCATGAGGAGGCTTTACTGCACTCGTCAGACATGAGTTGTCTGTATGTTGTGTTGTTTGTTTGTTTGTGTGCTGAGTTTGTGTTCCTTCCCTCCCCGCCCGGACTTGTTTACCTCCTTACCTGGCTCGCTGACAGGTTAGACTTTATCATCTGCTCAGTTTATTTTATGTAAACGTAGTAAGTGTAACTGAGGTTAACTTTGTTAGAAGTTTTTTATTATAGTTCAAGTTCATGATTCAAAACTTGTGAACTCTCGTATAAGCTTACGTTAACCAACTAGCTGTACAGTTTGCAGACGCTCCAAATGCGTGTACAGCGCCAGTGCACTGCCGACCCACACTTATTAGTCTCACAACAGTATATTTGTAGTCATTAACCATCTAATTGGCCTGCACAGATGATACTATTTATATTTATTAGGCTGTGTGTATAGTAGTAAGTAGTGGTGTGTATAGTAGTAGTAATGTCGGGAAGGTTATTTACACTACACCCTGTATTTAGTAGTAGTGTGTGTGCAGTGTACTCACTAAACAGTACTACTTGATAACTAGTGATGTAGCGAATAAACTGAGGAGGGGACAATGTTTTAAATTCGGAATATGGTCAGTTAAGTTGGAGTCTTAAATGGAAATATCACCCCTTCTTTCTCCCTTATCTACACATGTATGTACAAATATCGACAAGTACAGACACTAATATTATGAGACGGCAGTTGGAATTGACAGAGAAGTATTAAAAACATCTTGAAATGATCTAAGATAAGCGAATTGTATCCATGGTCGAGTTGGGGTCGTTGTTAATCCGTTGGTTTGGATTTTAGCCAGTTACCGACAGGGTCCCGGCCCCGATCTTGAAAAAACCTGACATTTTATACAATATAACATATAATATTGTTACCCTCTTCTGTAAAAATCAAGTTATTTACTGCTGCAATGATAGTACTATTCTGCAATGTTGAAGAATAAATGGTAGCTAATATTGTTATCTCTATCTGCTTCCCTTATCACAGTGCTTGGTACGATGAAATGTTAGTGAGTAGATAATAGTGAAGGAATGGGGCCACCATCGGTCATTGGCATACTGACACAAATAACTGTTCAGTAGGATCTAGAAAATTAGAATAGAACAGAACTCAGGAGGAAATAGAATTCGATTCTATAGAAATCGGTTCGCCTGGATATTGGTTTATATCTATATTTCTTATTTATTTTTTATTTCTATTATATTTATTTACTATTAACTACTTATATCTTTATTAGTATGTATTTGTATTATTGATGTATGGAATATGAAAGCTTGGGTTTAACATTAGAACTACCAATAACGTTTTACAGAATGAAGTTTAGGCAAATGGATAAAAAGTTACCCAAAACTCAAAAAGTAACATCATTAGTACAAGACTTTTGAAACACCCAGTGTACCTCTCTCTTCAAAATAACTGTAATTTAAATGTTTCAGTTCGCCAGATGCGTCACATTACTCCACAAAACAGAAGACTACACATTTCGGAACTCACTTATTCGCTCTTATAGAGGACGGAGATTCACAGGTGATTAAAACTAACTAATTAACTAACTAATTAAAACAGTTTAAATCGTCAGTGGTTTTGTGCACTCAATGCAGGACTCTGATTGGGATTTTATTTTCCTAAATTTCGGGTTTTGACACTTGCCGGTAAAACAAGCTAGTCATGCTTATAATTAACTTTCAGACGAGACCGAGTGAGAAGACGTGGGGGAGCATGTACGCTATTGGGAGGTTGGAGGTAGAGGAGGACGGGAGTGCTAATATGGAGATTATAAATAATACCATTTTGGAGTACAGCCTTGCCGAGGGTTAGTGGTGTGGAATTTGAAGCTGGAATTTTGTGTTTTTGTTCATTTCTTTATTTATTTATTTCTCCAAGGAGAGATAATTTGACCATGTTACTTTGTGAAGCTGATCATGCTTCCATTAATCAGCTTTTTGATATAATAATCCATAAACTAGTTAATTAATTAATTAATTAAATAATTAACTAATGAGTACACACCGTGCAGGTAACAGAGGTATGGAGTTGTCAGAACTACAGAAGTTTGCAGGTGAACTGTTAGCGGTAGACGACAGGTCTGGAGTAGTCTACAGTATAGAGAATGATATTGTGGTTCCTAGATACATCCTGGTGGATGGAAATGGGCATAGCAAGAAGGTAGATAACTTTATGGAATTATTCAAATGTTTGTGTTTTTATTGATTTTTGACGGTTTGTCTCTATGATTCATGTCACAACGCTGCATTTTTTTTTCTCTCAGGAGACTCGTTAAATGTTTGAACTTTGACCGTTTTTCTATCATCGTGGTGATGAAAATTATCAATTATATTTTTGCAGGGGTTCAAAGGAGAGTGGATGACAGTGAAAGATCACGTGTTGTATGTTGGAGGGTTTGGTAAACCATGGACCACTCCCACGGGGGATATAGTAAACTACGACCCTATGTGGGTCAAGGTAAGAACCATCACTTTTTATCATTATTTTATCTTGATTCCAATGTTTTTGCACTGTGATTGGTTAATCTATGTCACATGACTGGATTACTGCTAGCTGATAGGTCGTTACCTAGGTGATATCTCCGGACGGTGTGGTGGAGCACAGGTTCTGGAAGAAAAACTACGAGGCTCTGATGAGAGCTGCTGGTATCAGTTACCCTGGTTACATCTACTATGAGGCTGGTTAGTTTAACTAACCAATTTATTTAGATTATTTAGATTGTTGTTATTGTATACTTACGTGTTGATTGGTAGAGAGATCTGATAGATTGGTTAATTAAGGCTGTTCATTAACATTATACGTTTTAGCTTTTCTCATCGCCAACCCCGATAGCAACACGTATTAATATGTTATTAGATAGTGCCTATAAGTTATATCAGAGCAGTAGATTCTTACATCACACTATCTATTACATCTTTACTACTAGTCCTATCCCCACTATACAGTATACATTATACACTATACATTATACACTATACATTATACACTATACATTATACACTATGTACTATACATTATACACTATACAGTATACATTTACACAAACTAATCACTCAGTCTGCTGGTCGGCTATACACGAGAAGTGGTTCTTCCTGCCCCGTCGTGTCAGTCCTGACAAATACGACGACAAAAAGGACGAACAGCTGGGCTCCAACATCCTGCTGGTAGCTGACGAACTGTTTAAAGATATTGAGATCAGATACATTGGTCCTAAGATACCCACTCATGGGTTCAGTTCCTTCAAGTTCTTACCCTACTCTAATGACAATATAATAGGTACCATTTGTATACATTTTTCAGAGATTTTTCTGGGGCAATATTTTTAGTATTCCCGTTGAACAATTCCTTTTTCTTGTCGCAGTGAACGGGAACACTACAAATTTTGCCCTAGAAACATAACAATATAATATAATAATATATAATAATGCAACTAATAAATAATGTTCCGATCCGGATATTACATGTTTATTAAATGGAACATGGTCTAAATGTTACACTGTTTGTTATGGTACGTGACAGTGATCCTCAGATGTGGTTTGTTGGAACTGCAATCTGATTTGGTTTATCACTGTCACTAATTGTCAAAAGAAACACGTCTATCATGGTTCTAGGTTATTCGACTTAGTAATTTATATGTTTTTTTGGCTTACGCATACAGTCGTAAAAATGTAAATGAAAGTTATATAGCGCTGTTGCTGACATAAGTCACATAAGTAGGTCGTTTTGAAAGAAATCTTTTCGGATAAACACTTTTCATATTCACTTCTTATCTCAAATTATGAAATATCATTAAAAATCGAAAAATAAGGCAATCATCAATCATGCACATTGCTAATAATTGTTATCTATAAAAACCAATGTAAAACCATCTTGATTCTTGGTATCAGATCCAGCGACAATAATAGTCCAATTCCGCCGAATCATGTGAGAATAAATGGTAGATAAGATAGTTGACTTATTCTGTTTCCTTTATCGCTTGATAAGGAGATAACAGTGATTGGTATGATGAAACATTGTATTGAGTAACAGAATCCTCCCTCGCTGTGGAATGTTGAATATTCATCACATGACAAAGTAAACCCTTTTCTGAACAATATATTAACCCGGGTATTCGGAGAAAAGCTCACAATCGAACAGTCCTTTACCATGATTATCACCTTATCCGTTCTGTTTCTGCTCGGAGCTCTGACAGGGGTAGAGTCGGACAAAGCCGGACAAAGACTGATGAAGGGACGTTTCAAAGGGTTAAAGTTTGGAGGGACTGCTAAGGACTACATTCTCTTCAAACCAAGGATGGAACCTCTGGAGGAATCATACACTCTGTGTGCGTGGGTGAAGAAGGGACGGTCTGATGGAATTAAATATTTGATTATGGAACAACTAGTGATCCTCACGCGATCAACTTGTCGGTTGACGGATATTTCTACACGTTAGACACCCCTGTAGATATGAGAAGTAAGGTAACTGTCCAGGTGGGGACATGGAGACACGTCTGCTACACATGGAGTCTTACTACTAGAGCATTTAGTGTTTATGATGGTGTGCTTCTTGGATCGGCGACAACTCTCTCTGATAGAAAGATTGGATTAGACGGATACGTGGTGATAGGACAGCACTCTCGTACGTTGAACATTCTTTTGGTGGAGAGCTCTTTAAATTTAACGTATTCGACAAAGAACTAGATGCTTCTGCAGTAAAGGAGATGGCAGACGGAGGCCTTTGCTCTGAAGTTGAAGAGAAGTATGGTAGAAGTAGGTATTTGAAGTGGGAGGACCTGCTTCTTGAAGAAAAGTCAGGAAATGTTGCTGAGATCGACGTAGGCTGCACCCCGGAACTGAAGGAAGAAGGTAAAGAAGATAAAGAAGAAGATAAAGAAGAAGATAAAGAAGATAAAGAAGAAAAAGAAGAAGCCAGCATATCTGAGGACTGTGAATGTGAGAACGGAACAACGCTGAGCCGCTGGGATCTGCTGCGAGAAGACAAATTCTTCAACAAGACTGTCACGGTGGAGTTGGTGGAGGAACTGAAAGAAACATGGGATATTCTTGGTGAGTTACTAATAATGTGGTGTCTTATTTTAATCATATCTTTATGCATGTTTATATTAGAATCTATAAATCTAGTTCAGACATATCTTGCTTTTTTTAAACTTAATTGGGTTTACGATTTGTTCATTTTCAATTCTCTAAATAAAGTTATCATATTACCAGGAGATTTTGCGGGGGCGACGGTGACCTAGCGGTTTATTTCCCACTTCAAGTTCTTCCATGACGGGAAGACGTGCGACAAGAAATAAATCTTGTTTACAGTTCAACAAACTGTTTATTATTTTACATGATGTTTGAACAATTGCTGGAATATTTTAACGATTATTACGTATCTTATATTAGATTAAAATGTCACCGTGGAGTTGGTAGAGGAACCGAAAGGGGAAACAAATCTATAAAATTCAATATTTAACCACCTTGGCCTTGGTACATATTAGATTTTGCAATAATAATATTTGCTATGTATTATAATTTGTAATTGCTCGATCTGCTGGTTTCTCTTGGAAATTGAGCGTGTTTTTATTGTACGATCTGGGTCTGCTGCAAAAATAATCATTGAATAACAAGTAACAACTTAATCTCTAATTTTTTGGAAATTTTAGACACAATAAGCTGGTGAACAATTTGTTTGGAAATTAATTAAATGAATAAAAATTAACGATTGTTAACGATAATTGCGTATATTATATTACAAATTAAATTGTTCAGAAAGTTATCTTGATATCACAAATTTAGGAAATCGCAAATTTCGGACTTTATTTTATCTAGTTCATCATGCTTAATTATGAGCTTACATATTCATAACGTGATCCTCAGTAATATTTATCGACTCGTGAAAATAATAACAATCAACTAGCTAGATAACTTAACCGAGAAATCCTGGACACTTCACTTGCCAGTTGCCATTTACTCGTTTGTCGTTTTGGGCTACCGGTCATTTTCAATGTATTCAATGTATAGATTTGGTATTAACCCTTGTCTTTTTTTCAGTTGCACTAAAAACTGAGGAGGTGGATGGCGCTGTTAAGACCTTCATGACTTTGTTCACAGTAGATGGTAAAACTACCTTAATGTCAGAAACTTTAATAGGAGATAAAAAGTTTGAGGGCATTGAGTTTTTGTAAATATATAAAACATTTTGTTAGTTTTATTTATAAATACAGATAAAGTTATTTAAATTTTCTGATACCGCATAATTGAATTTGAATTTATTTTTTGGATTTTGATTGTATTGGATTTGATGGAACTTGCCGTGTTTACGTTAAATTTCAAGTCAAACTTGATAGTCTAAGTTATCGATCTGGATACACGTGTCTGACGCGTGACAGTGATTAACCGATCAGTTTCCAGCGTATGTAGACCAATCATAACCCAGAATCACTGTCACGAGTCAGTCAAACACACCAGTATCCAAATCTATAAAGAAATTTAATATTCAAGCTGAATTCTTGCCTCGAACCGAAAAAGCCATCTTTAAGCTGATTAAATTTCCTAAGGCCTCCTCCTTTTTGATAACTTCCAGCCTTTTTGATAACTTCCCTTAACCCACCGGTTCACTGAGGTACATAATGGTTACCTTTATTTATTAATTAAATTCTTTTGAATAAATAAAGGTAACCATTATGTGTCGAGATTACTATTTTTCTCTTATAGTTTATTCCATCTGATGTCTGATTGTACCACCATGTCTGTCGTATAATATAGTTTTTAGACGTTAGTGTTACTAATAAGCAGTTTAAAGGAAATTGAGAATTTTTTGTTGGAGAATTCTAAATTATTAGTTTTATCTTTGTTTGGACAGCCGCTCTGACATTAGTAGCTAGTACCATTCTTGGTTACTAGTTGCTAATATGAGCGGGATATAAATACTTTGTTATTATTATTATTATTATTAAGTTATATATACGACTAAGAGTTTGAGTAACTTTTTTTGATGAGAACTCATTTAAAGAAAATTGTAACTTGCTGGTTATTAAGTTGTAAAGGTTTTTAACTAAATGTGTGTTGTAGATATCTAATTTGATTAACCAACATTCATAAAAATGACGGAAGAGTCATCAGTTCGTCAAAATGTCAACACTAAGATTGGTCCATTTCTCTCGGTCCCAGTCGTAATGTCTTTTGTTGTACGGCGCGATGTCTTGATAACACAACAAAACAAAATCGAAGTCTAATATGTTTACTTCGTCACAAGACGGTGCGTGCGCGCCACGTGGTTCAGTTTTAAATTCAACAGCCACTATCAGATTAGGGTCAGGGAGCCCCAGCCCCCCCCCCCCCCCCCCCCCCCCCCCGTCAGGGATCGTACACACTACACACATTACACCTGCATGACGTTTGCAAGGTCTAGTATAGTTTACAGTTCATCACAATGTGGCAACCTTATTGGCATATTACCACTAACCACTCCTTCGTAGGGAAACGTGCCCTAACCTAAGTAAAAACAAATAAAATAACTGATCTAAACAAATAATTTTGAACTTGTAAACATGATCAATGTTGAATGTGTAATACGTTACCATCCATGTGCCATCTCAATAGTCAATACAGGTTATTAAGAACGATTTGGTATTTCAGTGAACTATTAGTTTACCCTCATCTCTACTGCAAATTTCATACGTTTTAAGATCAACAATTCCATGTCAAGAGGAGTCCCCGCCCGAAATAACATAAATTAAACATCCTGTAAGCGTTATTATCTAATCAGCAAAACAAATAATTTCACAACTATACCAAATGTGGTGTTAGCCGACTGGCTTTTTAAACGACTTTTCAATCGACCGATGAAGAAACACACTCGTTTTTACAGATGTACAAGATGCACAAGACTTTGATCAAACATTTAGTCCCCTACATATCAGTCAGTCCCGAATGAAATGTCCCAATAGAAAGTGACAGTTAGGACACATGTGAGTAGCGTCTTTAGTTTCCTTCATGAAGAAAGGAATCAGGCAGCACCCGAATACACACCTGAGAATTTGTTTGACAGTTACCGATATTAGTAGCTTAGTAGTTGAAATGTTGATCATTAACATCGTTGGAACATCTGATGCAATTACGAAACACTTACAATCTACATGGTACACATTTTACTTAATTGATTAGAAATGACTATACGTATATTGTAATGTATATGAGTATTAAAATTAAATTATAAAGCTTGTGTAGGGGTCGTTCACATATTACGTAATCAATTTTTGGACAATTTTTAAAACCCCCCCCCCCCCCCCCCCCTCCGTAATCAGTTTTACACTGTTGTATCAAAATTAAACTAGCGTAATCATTTCGAAATCCCCTCGGCTGATTACGTAATATGTGAATGACCCCTAACATCAAACAGCAAATACATCTTTCCAAATTAAAAGTGAGTCAAAAAATCATAATCAGAACAGAAAGAGAAACTCTTTCGACGTGACAGTTTATTATCACTCACCCACTAAGTGCCAGAACAGTGCAAGATAACCAAGTGGTAAAACCACTGTCGTATGTCACATATGTGTGAATGTTTCTGTGACAACGCACACAGTACACAGGTATACTTTCGCTCCCAAAATGGCAAAGGTATGGTAGTTCGAATGTTTCCCACTGAAAATAAAATTTGTTGATTAAAACGAAACAGAAACTTAAGTTAGGGTTGTTTATTAAGAGATTGCAATTGATTGTGTTAAATTAGGGGTCAAATTGTTCGGAAAATTGTTCAATTTTGGGAAATAATTTAAGATGCGGTTATGGTTATGGTAAGGGTTGATGTTAGGTTTCAAATCTGGGCTCCAGAATCAGTATTTAGTTTGATGTTTGGTGCTTGGTGCTATAGTCGACGATTCTTATTACAACTAATAGCAGTGAGTGATGGTCGCAAAACATCATTAAAAGAATGAGCCCAATTCGTCGACGCTGGTGAATTAGTTACACCTAACGTTTCCACATTGATTTGCAGCTCGCTCTAACACCAAGCAGTTAAAATTAGTTTTAATATAGATTGCATCGAGATAGATGATCCTAACACCATAACATTATATACTATATAGTCTAGAAACTTCAACCGTCGGAATCCAATATATATTTATGGAAACTAAGAACCAAAGTCGTCGTCAACTAATAATATTCAAGATAAGTTAAAGATATAATTCCAACAAGCTGAATATGAAATGCAGTTTAAAGAAAATTACTCAGTAATTAACCTCATATGAGGGCAGATCAATCGTGTTCTCGGCAGGATTAGCGTAAATATCTGAATATTTAGGAGGAGGTGTTATAACCCGGCGTCTCTCGCTCGATACCATACCGGGACTCGGGTAATAACCATGGGAACCAATAGACAGGTCAGAGTGGAGTCACGTGTGCACGGAGTTACAAGTACCTACGAAGAGGGGGTAACTGTGAGAGCTCCAAATGTACAGCAACCACAAATGAGGACAAAGTATAAATTTATACTGTTGCACAGCTTGTATGTTAGATGTTTGCACATTTTGTTGTACATCACTTTATTTCACTGCACTTACGTTTAATGAGATATAGTGATGTTTGCCGTGTACCTAGAGTCAACGTATATTCAAGCAAACACCTTACTATAATGCAGAGGCAACGTATAAGTGCGGCGGGTTTGGATTTGTGGTATCGCACTGTTGGCACCTGGCCTAATATATGTACCACACTATCGGCCGTTATTCGGGCACTATCCGTCGCGGAGTAGAGTCCGCGGCGGAGCCGCCGGACTCCGAGCGGAGTCCGGCGGTGCTCCGCCAAAATGTATTTACACTGGACTCAAATACATTTTGGCGGACTCCGAGCGGAGCCGAGCGGACTCCGAGCGGACTTTAAAGTCCGCCGCGGACTCCGAGCGGCTCCGCGGCGGCTCGGCGGAGTGTCCGCCGCGGACTAAGCCACTAGGCGGACTCCGGTCCGCCGCGGACTCCGGCGGAGTGCTTGGCGGACTCCGGCGGACCTCTCCGGCGGACTTGAATCCGGCGGAGTCCGGCGGACTCCAACAGAGTCCACTGACTTCCGACCTCCGACTTCCAACCCTCGGCTAAATTTGTCACGTGACATACAACATAGCATTTTGCAATATTGTGGTCAGATGAAAAGGTCGCTAGTGATAAACCTTAACCATTACCCTCACAATGTCAATAGTGTACAACAAGAATTTTGACAAACGGCGTATTTTCGACCGGTGTTTCGGCGTATTTAACATGTCTAATACCTGCCAATTAGATTACTCTGGTACTCTCTTCAAATAGTCAATTATAAGTACTGAACAACAACACCATACGTGCTGGACAGTACACACGTACGTGTTTATACAATATTCATATGATATCACATTCAAATAGGTCTCGGCACGATTTACTTGATCAATACATCGAATTTTTATCGATGTAACGACTTTTCCAGACCACAGAAGGTTAAAGGTACCTCCACCGGAACTAGCAACTATAGCAACTATAGTAACTATAGCAACTATAGCAATTATAGCAACTATAGTAACTATAGCAACTATAGTAACTAAAGTAACTATAGCAACTATAGCAACTATAGCAACTATATAACTATAGTATCTATAGCAAACCATATTGCAACTATAGCAACTATAGCAACTATAGGCAACCTATAGCAACTATAGCAAATATAGCGACTATAGTAACTATAGCACCTATAGTAACTATATCAATATAGCAACTATAGCAACTATAGCAACTATAGCAACTATAGCAACTATAGTGACTCCACTAATTATGGCATTTTTATGAAATAATTTCGTTAGGAACACTGACCAATAGTATGTGACTTTGTCGCACTATCAATAACGGCTGTGAACTATAATAACAGGTGACTTGACACTGAAACTACTGAGGGAGAGTGTCTCACGGCAGGATATCGTGTTATTAATAAGCTGATATTAACTTCACTTTCTTTTCTTTCCCAGTATTAAAATCTAGTATTGCTGACCGTGCTGACGGTAGTTATTTCGATTATGTAATAAATATCCTATGAATAACCAGTATTAGCTTTTTTATCGACGAAATTTCTCATGAATAAACCTTCTTACAATAATCACTAGTCACATCTTATGCTGTTCAATTTCCATGGCAAAAACTGCACACCATGGATGATTATACAATAATCTATCAAATAGCTGAGAAGAAGCTTGAGGAATGCTCTTTTTCAACGCTTTTTTGGCAGTAACCCTCCTGTGCTTTTATCAACCAAACCCTTACTAACATAGTTAAAAACCTTTTTAAAATTTAACTCGGGGTCACATTTAAAACAGCCCGTGTTCAATGTTTACTAAACTCTCAACTTCATGCCCCAATTCCCTTTTTTTATGTTTCCTTGTTCTTTAAAAAAACTAAAACCATTCCTGCCCCCGAGTTTCCAAACACCCCCCACAAACCCCCCCAAAAACAATAAAGGGCAGTTTTTTCCGGCCATTCCAAAAATTGCTAATGGGGGATAGCTTTTTCAGGACCCTCCAAAACCCCCCAAAGGCGCCCGGAAACCCCAAACCCCCAACTCTAATAAAACCCCTTTCCAAACCCCGGGGAGCCCAAACAATAAAAATTTGTTTTTTTTAAACAGCCGGCCAGGGTTGCCCAAAACCCCATTTTTTTTGTTGCCCTAACTGTCCGGGAAGCATTCCCCCCAAACGCATAGGGGGGATTCCGGGAATCAGGGGGCCCCAAAAAAAAACCCCGGGAAACTTGAAAAAAATTTTATCCCTTCAAGGGCCCTTTTTCCTCAAAAAATTTTTTCTTAAAATTTGGGCAAAGCGATTTGGGGGGGGGAAAGGGAACACCCGTTTCCCAGGGAACAATCCTTATCTTTGTTATTTTCCCTCGAGCTAACTTAACAGGGCAAAAACATTTTTTAACCACAGAAACTGTTTTTTTACATATCATACATTTTTCCCAAAATATTTTCAGCACAAAAAATTTCTTTCACCGGGGCCATTCCCTTTACCTCCCCCGGGGGGCCACCAAAAAATTTTGGGGGGGGCCCCATTTTTGGGGTACCCTTTTGTAAAAAACCCCTAAACCCCCTTGAATGGTTTTCCCAAAGGGGTTGAAACCCCAAAATTTTCCACACACTTGTCTAAAGTACAACCGGGGCTAAATTCCAAAAATTTTGGCCCAAATTTGCCCGGGGGGGTAAAATAGCCCCTTTAAGGGGGGGGGGGGGTCCATGGGGTTTTTTGCCCCTTCTGGGAACCCCTCTCTCCCAACCAGCCGCCCCCCCTTCTCCGTTTTTTGGGGTTCGTTTTTATTTTCTTGGGGTTTCCTTTTTAAGGGGGGTATAGGTAGGTCCCCTTTTTCCTTGGTTTCCAAGGGGGGGGGACCAGGTTTTTTTAAGGGGGTAGGGATTTATTTGGGGGAAAGGTCCCCCCTGGGGGGTTTGGGAATAAAAACCCCCCACCCCCCTACCCCAAAAAAAACCCCCCCCCCCCAAAAAAAAACCTGGATAAAAACCCTGAGCAGGAAAAAAAAATTCATAAAGGGATTTCATAACCTTTATTCAAAATTTTGCCATTATTCAATATTGTAGGGGTTTTAACGAAAAAAAAAGCGGGGTTTTTAATCAGCGTGTTTTTTTTGTTTCCTTTTAAATAATGCTCATAACCACCTTTGGGGGAGCCCCAAAGGGGAGCCCCTTTTTTGGACCCCCCTTGTGTATCGGGGGGGCCATTGTGTACTGGGGGAAAAACCAAACTGCATGTTTATTTTTGGGTTTTAAATTTTTTGCCAGCTTTTTTTAGACGCTGGCTTAACGTTGAAGTGTTTGCTTTTTCCAAATAAAAAGATTTATTTAACTTTTTAAATTTTTTTGGTTGGGGGGAAATGAAAATTTCCCAGCCGGGTGGGAACAACCAAAGGGCCCTTTTAAAACCCCCGCTAAATAATCATTTTTATCTTTTGCCCACCGGGGCCCTACCACAGTTTTAAAACCTGCCAGACAAACTCTATCCAACCACATAAAAAATAAAAATTTTCAAAGGGCGTGTGCGCCCACAACCCGGGGTGTATAAAAAGCCCGGGCCACTGTTGCCCAACCCCAAACCCCCAACCTAACACTTTATTTTAAAAATTAAAAAAACCCTTTCTAACAAATTTCTTTTTCTTCCCCAAAAAACACAATAAGCGGGAGCCGTATCCAAAGCGGGTTTTAAAGAAGAGGTTAAAAGCTGACGTTTTTATAGCTGCCCGTTAAAAAGCGACTTTAGTGTTCAGATTAAAACGGGGCCGTTTTTATAGCTAAAGGAAATTTTGGCTGAGGGGTTTATATACCGGACGTTTATTATGCGGCCGTTTTTTAATAGTTTGATTTTATTAAGCCGGACGTTATTGGGGGCTGACGTTTTTATATACTGATTTTTTATAGCGGGGTTATTGGGGCGGACGTTTATAGCGGACGTTATTATAGCTGAGGGTTATTTGGGCTAAACTTTATTTTTAAGCTGACTTAAAAAGCTACTTTTAATTTTTAGTTTAAAGTTATTTTACGTTTTTAAATAGCGGACGTTATTATGCTGACGTTATTAAAAAGCGGGAAGTTTTATTAAAGTTTGACTTTAATTAAAACCTTATATAGTTTACTTTTATTAAAAGCTAAAATTAAATTAAATTTTTTATTAAAAAGCTGCCCTTATTATTGTGGGCTGGACGTTTTTTTATTGGTTTTACGTTAATTGGGGAAAATAAACCCTTGAGGTTTTTTATGGGGCGGACTTTATTAAAAGGCTGGGGGGTATTAATACTGAGTTTATTTTTAAAAAGCTGCGTTTTTATAAGCTGAGTTATTAAAAAAGCTAAACGTTTTTTTAAACAATTTTTTTTTGTTTGGCGTTATTGTTTTGGGCCGGGTTAATTGTTCCCCCCCGTTTTTTTCCCCTTGGGGGTTTTCCTTTGTCCCCCGAGCCCCTGCCCAAATCTTTTTAACCCAGATCATTTCCTCTCGGGCCCAAAAAAATTTCCCCAAAATCCAAGATTTCCTCGCAGATTATCTGAAATTTCCCTCTTCCCCAATCGGAATACTCCTAAATCCAAAAGAAAATTTAGGGCAAAAAGCATTCTTTGGGAAAATATGCAAATTAGGTTTCGTCCCGGAATGGGGTTTTCAGGAAGGTATTGTCCATAGTCCCGGGCACCAAAAAAAATTTTGGTTAGACTAACACAATGTGGAAAACCTTCAAAAGAGAAAATTCAAACTGTTTTAAATCAAATTAAAGATATGAAGAAAACCCCTTTAAATTATACTGAAAGGGGGGTACCCTTATATTTAAAGGGCCCCTTTTAAGGGGCCCTAATTAAAACTCTTTATAATGCTTAGGTGTATCTTTTTGAAAGTTGGGAGACTCCCAATGTATAGTATTTAATTAAAAACATTGAAGGGGAAATTTTTTCCAAGATTGTTTTTTTTGGGGGACGCTTTAATTTCGCTGCAAAACGGATATTTTTGGGGGAGCACGGGGGGTTAACACTACTTTTTTTCATAACTTTTTTAATTTTAAATTTTAAATTCCCCCTTGCTGAAATAACAGTGATTTAAAAAAACCTGAAAAAGAGAAAAAGGTTTTGGGCAG